GAATAAGATAGTCCTACTTTGTACAAGTTTATTATTGTTGTTTTGTGTGTAGTATGGATAAGATTACTTTTAATCTTCTGCTTCTTCCTTTTTCTTGTACAGGGTTTTTTTTGAAGTTGCAAAAATCCCTCCATTAGAAACGTGAAGAACAAGTTTTTCCATACCACATTCAGAAACATTATGTAAACAAGAAGTCTGACTGATGAAGAATTAAGATTTCTACTGAACAATTTTATATTGTGTATCATTAGTGGATGTGTGTGATGATGTGTTCCTCTATTATTTTTGTAATAACATTTGAAACACAACTTTGGTCAGCAGTGGCAGAAGGAATAGAAGTGATAGGATCAAGATTTACCTTAAACAAATTGGAGATGGCTCACAATGTGTGTAGTTGCTTTTTTTAGAGCTCTTTTAATAACCATATTTGAAGTTTTTTAAACAAATATTTAAAGTGTATTCACTGTTTTTTTGTCTTACATTTTTGTTTTACATATGTGTGGTTTTAATAGATAAAGAATATTTAAATTTTCTTTAGCAAAATGAAATTTTAAAAAATGAGTGTGAAATTTAACATTTTTTTTCAATGATGTATTTGAGGTTTTCTGAAAATGGTAAAATCCTGCTTTTAAATTAAATAATTCATGCAAATTTACATGGGCAGGTTTGTTAAGAGCTGCATAAGAAACCCTGAAGAAAATACTGTACAGAATGTTTACTGAATGAAGAATGTTGTAGTGTGTTTATTTAAAATTCTGTTATCATTACCAGCATGCATGTTTTTAACATTCTCCTGTTTTAGTTTTCCAGTTATTCTGTAATTGTGCATGGTATGTCATGTGTTATTGTTTACAAATGTAGTGGGTTATTCTTGCCCCACAATGAAATTTATAAAGACCTCATTCTCACCCATTATTTCCTTCATTTTTGCTCAAAATAGGCTAAAAAACCCTTTAATAACTATAATTTAATCAAAACAAGTGCCACAAAAACTTAGATACTGTAGTAATGATATCACTATAATGATCCAATATAGATCAGTGGAAATACAATGATTTTGATGTATAGGAATATAAGCATTATCTGAACTAACGTGGTAAAATCTGTCATTGCACACAAAGTAGATTTAATCAATAAATTTTACAGATGGGTATAGAATTACACTTTTATTATTAGTCAAATATTAATTATATATATATTTACCTCTGTTTGGATTTGTGAAACAATTTGCTCCATATGTTTAAAAGAAAAAACCTTTATTTTTGTAGTGGCCTCTAGAGACCTATTTATTGTTTGTAGTGGTCATGGTTAGAATTGTCAATAAGATCTGGGGGATTTGGGTTACATATGTTTGGGAATATCATTAAAAGCTAGGAACCTTTGGTTACATATCATAACAAAGGATGTCACTAAGACCTGGGGGATCCTGGGTTAGGTATGGTTAGGGGTATTATTAAGATATCATGACTTTGGTTATATATATATATATATTATCATGATGTGGAGTGGAGTGTCGTTAAGAGCTAGGAACCTTGGGTTACATATCATAACAAAGGATGTCAGTAAAACCTGGGGGCCTTGGGTTATGTATCATAGTATGTGGTGTCACTAAGACCTGGGGGCCTTGGGTTACATATCATAGTAAAGGGTGTCACTAAGACCTGGGGGCCTAGGGTTCTCTTGACAATTTACATTTTTAGATGTTTCTTCTTTTGTAAAAGTCCAAAATTTAAAATGGGTATTTCATTGTTTACGGTTCATCTGGAATTAAACAGCTTTTTAATATATTCATAATTTGTTATGTACCATTTGGCTATGAATTGTTTTTTCAAATATTTTGAATGAATTTAGTAGTTTTGTTTATATAATACACAAATTTTAAGTTGATCATCTTTATTGAGTGTGTTTTATTCTCAAAAACAAGCATTTTTCTTCCTGTTTCCTATTTAGGTTTGATAAGTAAATTATTAAACTTGGAAGTTAAGTAAAAATTTGACTTAAAAGACCAGTTCTAGCCCTATTTTGTTGGTAGCACTTAGTAAGTAAAACTAGCTACAAAAATAGGTGTAGTGTAGTTTTTATTGTCGGTAGTGTCATGGTGTGTCATCTGTTTGGCTGTTAGTATTTATCTTCAGCTGTAGGTTTTTTCATTGTGAAAATTTGAGATAAACCCTAATAACATTTAAGAAATTAAGACCAAATTCGTGAATAAACATGGTGGTCATAAATTATCTTTCCTATTTTAAAATTTGATAATTAAATAACTAAAGAGACACAACCATACAGTTTTCAACATTTTGTAGCCCAACTCAAACAGTTTTTATTGACATGTTATTAGACTTTACAACTGTAGAGTTTTCAATATCTTGTAGTCCAATTCAAACAGATTTTATTGACATGTCTGTAGACTTAACTGTACAGTTTTCAACATTTCGTAGCCAAACTCAAACAGTTTTTATTGAGATGTCAGTAGACTTTACAACTATACAGTTTTCAACATCTTGTAGCCCAACTCAAACAGTTTTTATTGACATGTTGGTAGACTTTAGAACTGTAGAGTTTTCAATATCTTGTAGTCCAATTCAAACAGTTTTTATTGACATGTTGGTAGACTTTAGAACTATACAGTTTTCAACATCTTGTAGCCCAACTCGAACAGTTTTTATTGACATGTTGGTAGACTTTAGAACTGTACAGTTTTCAACATCTTGTAGCCCAGCTCAAACAGTTCTTACTGACATGTTATTAGAGAATAACTTTACAACTGTACAGTTTTTAACATCTTGTAGAACAATTCAAATAGTTTTTATTAACATGTTATTAGACTTTAGAACTGTACAGTTTTTAACATCTTGTAGAACAATTCAAATAGTTTTTATTAACATGTTATTAGACTTTAGAACTGTACAGTTTTGAAGATCTTGTAGCCCAACTCAAACAGTTTTCATTGACATCTCGGTATACTTTACAACTGTACAGTTTTTAACATCTTGTAGAACAATTCAAATAGTTTTTATTAACATGTTATTAGACTTTAGAACTGTACAGTTTTCATCATCTTGTAGCCCAACTCAAATAGTTTTTTATTAACATGTTATTAGACTTTAGAACTGTACAGTTTTCAACATTTTGTAGCCCAACTCAAACAGTTTTCATTGACATCTCGGTAGACTTTACAACTGTACAGTTTTCAACATCTTGTAGCCTAACTTAAACAGTTTTTATTAACATGTCAGTAGACTTCTACTTGTGCACTATTAGTATCTCTCAGCTAATCTAACTGATATTTGATTTCAGTTCAAATTTGCTGTAACATATTTACAGTTACAGTGGTGATATCATCCATTATTGTGGGCTTTGACTCTGTTACCTCAGCAAATAACATCTTGTTTCAAAATGTTCTAAAATCTGTAGTAAGTTGCTATAAGACGACGTCTGTAATGTAGCACTGTTTACGAGTGTTACTGAAAGAAGACAATCTCTCTTGTAGTTGAAGCAAACAACAGAAGTCTGTAGTTCGGGGTATCATTACCACAGTTCCCATGACAGGTTGCAAAAGAAGAGTGTTGTTTTGGTTGACTTCACATATTCCATGTTACAAAATAAGGGTGTTGTTTGGTTGACTTCACATATTCAATATTACAAAATAAGAATGTTGTTTTGGTTGACTTCACATATTCCATGTTACAAAATAAGGGTGTTGTTTTGGTTGACTTCACGTATATAGTATGAATAAGACAACCCTATTTTGTACTAGTTTCTGTTCTTATTGTAATTTTATATATATTCACTTTTTTAGAGTGAAAAACTACCACCTTATATTTTAAAGAATCTTATTGGTTCTGTAAAGAATAGGTCTGTTGCAAAATAATAGGGTTATGATCCTAAGGGTAATGTTGGTTACTATCGAGTGTCATTCTCTTACTTGCTGTGGTTTGTTGGTGTGTATTATCTACCAGAAGCTACTATTGGTAGACACTGGTCACTCTAACATTTTGTTTTGGACCATTATAATTACATCAATTCCATTAAATGGGTATTATCTACAAAAAGCTACTTTTGTTAGACACAGGTCAGTCTAACATATCAGACCATTATATTTACATATGTTCCACTAAATGGGTATTATCTCAAACAAAAGGGAATCCTGAATAGCCATGGCACTTAAAATTCTTTGAGGCAGGATTAGAGTAGATTAATCTATGAGCTCTTTTTTCCTTTTTATTAGCTATGTTTTTGTGTGCTAGTGATACCATGTATGGGGTGTGCGTATACCAGATTTGATTTTATTACTCACCAGGATCTCTACCAGCTTACCCTCAAATTGAAATTCTTTTAAGCAGGATTGCAGTAAATTAATCTTGGAGACCTTGGGTGTGGTCAAATACACCAGTTGAAAGGGTTTGACCTCCTGAGTCCAAAACTGAAACTAGGTCTCAACTCAGGCAAGGGATGATGGAGCTATGAACTAAAAATTTGTACTTGAAAAAACAAAAACAAACTCATAGCCATTCTGTGAGCTGGTATGTCGCAGCTAAAAAGTTACTTTTGGTAGACGCTGGTCAGCCTAATGTTACAAACCATTATAAGTACATTTGTTCTGCTAAGTGGGTATTATCTACAAAAACTTCTTTTTGTATACACTGTTTAGTCTAAAATTCCAGACCATTATAATTATACCTGTTCCGCTAAATTGGTATTATGGACAAAAATCTTCTTTTGGTATACACCGGTCAGCATAACATTACAGACCATTATAATTATCAGTTCATATAATTGGGTATTATCTACAAAAGCTATTCTTGACAGACACTGGTCAGTCAGGTGTTTCTAATCACTGTAATGAAAGTCTAGTCAGTTACTTATTAAAATGGTTTGTTAACTAGTTACTTTAAGCCCCTTTGATTTGAAGTAGATACTTGCACTAATATGGTTCTTGTACATACTTATGTTTACTAAATATGTACTGGGCCTTATAGAACTTTGGTTTTCTTCCCTAGAGTCCAACCTTGGAGTATTATTCATGCTATAAAAGCTCAGATTTGGAAAAGCTTGTTCTTCACCTGAATAAGCTTATTTCAACTCCACTTCACAAAAATCTCCAAACAGTGCGAACCAAGTACTCCCACAAGTAAGTCTGGGTGTTACAATTCTTTAACTGTAAAATGTCAATAATTCTCTGTTGTATCTATTCAGTGACAAATCTTTTGCTTTGTACAAATTTCTGTTATTTTGTATGAAGTATGGACAATATTAACCCTATTTTGTGCTAGCTTCTGTTATTGTTATTTTGTATATAGTATGGATAAGACAACCCTACTTTGTGCCAGCTACTGTTATTATTTTGTATATAGTATGTATAAAATAACCCTATTTTGTGCTAGCTTCTGTTATTATTGTTATTTTTTAAGGAGTATGGATAAGATAACCCTACTTTGTGCTAGCTTCTGTTATTATTTTTTAATATCATCCTTTATATAATGCAATGTAAACTAGATTAACAGTTTCTTGTCATCACCCGGATGCACTTGGTACAGCCGTATCAAACAATTATTTGCTGTAATTGCTTGAGTTAATATTAAGTGATGCTAGACACTCTTTAATTAGGAGAATTTCATAAAATTTAGCAAATCTGTGCTTAAAAGTTG